TTCAATATTGTAAGATAGGGCTTCACTAGAGCTTTCAAAAAACATATGGCACTTTTGATATCAAAAGGGGCCAGAGATTAATGGTGATRGTGCAAACTTTATGGGAGATMAGTGTTTCSCTGCATCGTTTAGCACTGATAGCTGGACAAATTGGTGTTTCGCTRGCACAGAGAGCTAGGCAAAGTGCTGGTTGCTAGATTGTKGTATAGCTAGTTGGTTAATCGGTATTTCGTTAAATTGTCTAWCACTGATAGCTAGTCAAATCAATGTTTTGCTRGTTAAATTGATGTCGATCGCTGCGTCGTTTAACAAATATCGCTGCTCTATTTACTAAAAATTTACTTTTGGTGGTGATGGCCACCCATACCAAGACTTGAAAAACTTTTAAAATGCATCCAACAACTATGAATAAAATAATCTTTCTATTTGCAAATCAATGTTTTTTTGTCTTTTTTCTTCTTCTTGTGACTATAGTTTTATTAGAATTATCTCAGTAATTACAGCAAGGCTAGAACTTTAAACAAAGCATTGATCATATAGTCGAGATTGACATGCTTTATTTGTTAAACTATAAACAAGCATGTTTTGGAATTTGAATATAGCCTGGCATGAACTATAAAATTATTACTATTGTTCTTACCCTTATTCTTCTTACCTACACAGCTATTTATTTGAGAATTTTGTATTTACTCCAGTTCTTTTGCATATTTTTTACTATAAAGTTTATAACGACAAGACTTGACGTTTCAGTGGCATCAGTCACCATTTTCAAATGTAAAGTAATTGTAAGATCGTGGTTTGATTATATTAATAAAAATTTGAATATTGCGGCTCTAGGGAATACATTGTTATTGCGTTGAAAAGATTTTTGAACAAATGGAATCTGTTTGTGTGTTTAATGATGGCTTAAGATCCTTGATAAACAACATCTCGTATACGAGACAGTCCAATTTTCCTTTGCAATGTTTTTTAACACCCTGAAGTTATTTTCGAAGCCTTTGTGTTTCCTTGGTGACAGGTCTTGTAATGATCGCCGACACTGCTCGACTTGTGCTCTCTGATTCATTGAAATAGGTTTCAGCACGTGTAAGCGACATACCCTGCATTGCACAGGTCACACTTGAACAAAAGACCACTTTGTTCTGGTTGAGCAGGGATTTTTTTGTAATTTGATGTATTATATTACATAATATATACTGACATTGTTTTTATTGCAGTCTAGAATAATCTTAATAATACTTTGATCAAGTATTTCAAATGTAGTATTTGTTTAATTGCACATTTTTTGGCATTCCTTTTTAAGTGTTCTGGCTACAAATTGCATAAAATTACACAAAGTCATAACCCCTTAATAGATCAATATTATACACTGATGCAATACATGTACGGTGCTATACAGCCTTTTGCAAAAATTATGAGAATTGTCTAAATATCTAAATATCATAATATCCATATCCATATATTGTCCGGAACATGCGGGTTTGCTAGAATAATTCATTGTTGACATCGAGAAAATGTTCAGAACTACGGATAGGTCTGTCACCAAAAAAAAAACTAAACTACAAAGACAAGGGACTAAGGGCATCGCGCGGGATTACCCATCATGCACTCGATATTATGATATTTAGATATTTCAACAATTCTCATAATTTTTGCAAAAGGCTGTATACANTGCTTTATTTG